CACTCAATAAAAGGACCTGATCACCTGAGGCGAGCAATGAGTCAGCCAGAGGAGCACAGGTGAAGGCAGTTCACCTGTACTGCTGGAAGGGGTGGAGCTCCTCAACCTATTTAAGAGCTGGCTACCAGTGGGGAAGGATCTCTTCTGGAGATCTGCTCTGCTGGAGTTTTGTGAGTGAGCCCGGGACAGGGGTAAGCTTTCTATCTATTCTCTTTTTGTTATCATAATCTACTTTGCCAAACTTTCTCATTTATTTTGTAATTATAGCATCTTAATATTCATTGATTATATAATCTCGATGCACCCAAAACTGCGGTAGAGTATCAGCAGCAACAAATAATGCATCAGCTGGTTCTTACAGGAGAAAATCCTCACAGGCTAATGTGTAATATGCTGCAGAACTGACAGTGTTGGATGTTTGTTTTTCCAGTTCAACGCAGTCTATTGCTAGAGGCACAGTATAACACCAGATCAGCAGGTTTATTGCGATGATTTTGAATGACAATTTTTTTTGCTCTTGCTATAGAGGAAAGTGTTTGAGTTGTCTACTTTGCATAGCACCATGTAAAAAAATCACGGTCCTTTTCTATAGTAACAAATGACAGGTGAATCTTCTCTTATCACTTGTTTTTATATCTACTCTGACTTCGATATAGGATTACTGGTTGTTTTTTTTTTTTTTTTTTTTTTTTTTCCCCGGTACTATATTTATGTATGATTTAGCTCACACTGCAGCCAGCAACAGATTTAGTGCCAGGAAATTCTATATTTCTCTATATGTATATGTATGTCATATGTAACAGCATAAATTAAGTAGGAAAATGAGGAACACTTTTGAAATTAAAAGCAGATTTATTTTTTTTTTGTCTTGAAGTGAGAAGTGTGAGGAGTCTAAATCATAAAGTCATGCTGAAACAGATGAGTTGTAATTAGGGCAGAGAAGAGAATGAAAGATTGACGTATGGCTTCCTTCTCGCCATGGTTTGCTTTTACTTGGTAAAACCTGCTTGGGTTGCATCAAATCTTCATTATGTTATGTAAGAAAGGAGACTGTCATGGGAAAAGTGTCTAAATATTTGTCAACTTTAAAAGATAAACCTCTTTCTTTCAACAAGGATGGCTTAAAGAGACTTTTTTTTTTTTAATAAAATATGGCTGGCTGTGACATGTCTATTCACCTTCTACCACCCAAACAGAAATTCTTGTTCACAAACACCTCAGTCTCATATTGTAGGTGTGAGATAATCTGAATTACAGCTGTAT